CAAATGAGAGAACAAAATAAAAAATATCAACCAGAACCCAAGCGAAATACACACCAGATAAATCCAAAGAGGTCAGAAACCAAAAAATAAAAGGAAAAAAAAGGGGGGGGGAGGAGAAAAGAGAGAATATAATCTTCCAGGTGGACAAAACAGGGTGCTCCACTTGGTCCTGGGTGTATTTTGGTCTGTTTGTTAGAAGACACTAAATCCCAAAATTGTAAAGAAAGCAAAACTCATACATATATATACAAAAATAAATTGAATACAGGGAAAGGAAGACAAAAATGAAGAATATAAAATGTAAATGTAAAAATGAAAGTTAAAAAAAGACTTAAAAACAAAGAGTTGATAAAGTAAGAAACTAGTTGAAAAAAGAAAAGGAAAATTTTAAACTGAAAGATAAAAGAATCATGAGAAAAAAACCCTCAAATTCTATATACTATTAGAATATTGCTGGAGTTTTGCAGTTCTGTGTGCTTGGTAAAGTTGGTATTCCCCTGATGTTCCAGCTGGTCCTCTGGGTAAGGGGCTAATTCTCAGGTGTCTTTGCCTAGGTGGAGTGGCACCACCCTTGCCAGGGGGCAGGGCTCTGTGTAAGCTGCTTGGGTTGTTCTATGTTGCTTTTGTTCCCTGAAGCCTTTCTGGGCCACTTTAGAGGATGAAAATAAACATGGTGGCATCCCAGTCTCCAGCCCCAGAGCTGAAAGATCATCACCCTCACTGTTCAGTACACCCTCAGGGAAAAGCAGTCTTTGTGTGCATCAAACTCTTCAGACTTCTGTGGTGTGACTTGTGCCATTCCTCCAGGAGGAGGAAGGAGGAGGATTGCCATGGGCCTATTGTGGGGAAGGCGGAGGGTCACTATGTTTCTGCCTTTTGCAGGTCCCCCGCATGGAGTGCAGTCGCTGGATTGTGCCCTGGTTTGCGATTTATGGCAAACCGAGCTGAGAGCCCCTTCCCAGGATTGCTGACCGTAGCTGATTTCCCCACTCTGATGCTTGGGAACTCTGCTGGCTCAGGCATCCCCGTTCTTTCTGTGACCCTGGAGATCCTGAGACCACATGGTCTCACCTAAGATTTTGTCCTGCTTCACCACCTGAGCACCTTTCAGGCAGGGACGTCTCTAATTGGAGCAGACTTCTAAAAGTTCCTATTTTGTGTTCTGGAGCTATATCACTTTCTGGTAGCTGGTTTAGGGGAGCTCCCTTGCCCCCCTCCCCCGCCCCGCCATTTATCTTCCGATATATCCCCTCTGATTCACTTCTCCGCACCTCCTACCTTGCAAAAAGTGGTTGCTTTTCTATGTGTAGAATTCCACCAATTCTTTTTTTACATCTCAGGTTGAATTCATAGGCGTTCAGAATGATTTGATAGTTATCTAAATTCAAGGAACCAGATGAAACAAGGTCCCCTACTCTTCTGCCATCTTGCCTCTCTTCTCATTATCTTTTTAATGGCTGCTTGATTTCTAGTGAGTTCTTTCATTCTATCAAATTTTTTTTTTCTTTTTCAAAGAACCACTGCTTTTAAAATTTTCTCTATTGTTTTCCTATTTTCAATTTCATTGATCTCTGTTCTTTATTCTTATCCTCCTTTTGCTCACTTTTGGTTTATTTTGTTCTTCTTTTTCTAGCTTCTTGAGGTAGGAACTTAGGTTATTATGTTGAGACCTCTCTTAATCTTTTTTTATAACCATATTCTAGTAAACATCTATGTCTTCCTTCTTAGCATCCCAACTGTTCATTCTAATATTATTTGCCATTGCCTCATAAAAGTCAGTAAGTATACTCTTTAGGAAAAAAAAAAGCATAAAACAAATAAAATCTTATAATGATTTATTATTTATTTACTTATTTGACAGAGAGAGACACAGCGAGAGCAGGAACACAAGCAGGGGGAGTGGGAGAGGGAGAAGCAGGCCTCCCGCGGAGCAGGGAGCCCGATGCAGGGCTCGATACCAGGACCCTGGGATCATGACCTGAGCCAAAGGCAGATGCTTAACGACTGAGCCACCCAGGTGCCCCTTATAATGATTTTTTAAAAGGTCAGCTGCTTGTACTGTAAGGTTTCTTAAAAGTAGTGGATGAGCTTGTATACTATATTGTGAAATGATCACCAAAGTCTAGTTAACATCTGTCACCACACAGTTATAAAATTTTTTTTCTTGTGATGAGAACTTTTAAGATCTACTCTTAGTAACTTTCAGATATAGTCACCATACTTTACATTATATCCCCATTACATTATATCCCCATGACTTATATATAACTGGAACTTTGTACCTTTTGATCCCCTTCATCCATTTCATCCACCCTTACCCTCCTCCTCATGCAACCACCAATCTCCTCTGTATCTATAAACAGCAAAAGAATGAAAGTCCTTATTGTGTTATGAAAATTTTTCTCCCATTTCTTTCCGCCTTTAGATACCTAAGACACTAGTAACCACTAGTCATTTGGGTTAAATCATTCTTCAGAAGCAGTATATTCAACTGAAAAGAAATGCTTAAGGAGCCAGATCTACGGAATGGCCTCTAGCAGTCACTCATTATGTTGTATCCAAACATTGTTAATCCTGATGAACAAGATAAACCCATTTCCTTTCACATATATCAAAAGGATACTGGGAAAGGAAGGAAAAAGATTTTATTGGAAGAGGTTTTATTATAAGTTTTTAAGGTTTGGGGCGCCTGGGTGGCTCAGTCGTTAAGCGTCTGACTTCTGCTCAGGTCATAATTCCAGGGTCCTGGGATCGAGCCCCATATCAGGCTCCCTGCTCTGTGGGAAGCCTGCTTCTCCCTCTGCCACTCTCCCTGCTGCTTGTGTTCCCCCTCTTGCTATGTCTCTGTCAAATAAATAAAAAATCTTTAAAAAAAAGTTTTTAAGGTTTCTGAATTGAAGTATATGAAAAGAAAATGAATAGATTATATGAAAACACTCAGACCATATTAAATGTCAAAACAAAACAGCACAAAGTTTTGAAAATACTATAAAATTTAATATTTCAAATAAATAAATATACATTATGCAACCTTCAGTAGGATCCACTATCATTACATAAAAACACTGATATGTGTGTATATCTTCTAGGAATGTAAAAATTACATAGTTGTTGACTTCTATAAGGCAAGCCACCTATCACATATTTAAGAAAGCATTAATAAATTCATTACCTAATCTTATACAAATGTTTTATATTTGCTAAAGCCTACCACAATGCATAGGGCGCAAATGTTGGCCAACTACTTCTTTTATGTTAGACAGTTTGTTTTTTAAACATTAAGATAGCTGAGAGAATCAACTTTACAGAGCTCAGCTTTTCTCAGGTATCTGACTTGTAGGAGGAGAAAGAGAAGTCCAGTGAAGTTATGAGGAATCACGTTGTTACTTTTCTAAAATGAAAAAATAAAAACATCTCATTTGATGACAACACACTTACAAGTCAAAATGGGCTCTAATACAAATGTATGGGAAGAGGTTTTGAAGAATAAATTGGATAACCCAGGGGAGGATCAGCTGCTTGTACTGTAAGGTTTCTTAAAAGTAGTGGATGAGCTTGTATACTATATCGCTCCTCATCATCGTTTGTGGCATAAAGCAATTCCCATGACAGATTGGCCCACTGACCTCTAACAGCTTCAGCATTTAACTTCCCAACTTGGATCAACAATTCTTGAAGGGTAAGTACTCTCCCAGTGTAAACTCCCTTTAAAGTATAAAAGGGGGGTGGGGGAGGAGAAGAAAAAGTTATATTCAGGCCTTCACATTTTATTTATAAACTTAGAGAAAAATTCCATTGTAGTTAGGCAAACTTAAACAGAAAATGGTGTATTAAAATATACACATGAGTTACTTGTCTTCAGAATCAAGAATCACCTCTATTCGGTAGCTCTCTGAATAAGCTTGAAATGACAGCCATTCATTCAATAACCCAAACAGCAAAATCTCATCTACTTCTCTTTCCTTCTCTATTCCTTCACCCCATCTGGCCTCAACAATGCATAAGTCATAAATAGTAGACAGTGGACAATCACACAATAGGCTCTTTTTAAAAAGTTTTATTGAGATATAATTCACATTCCATACAATTTACTCATGTAAAGTATATAATTCAATAGTTTTTTTAGTATATTCAAATATATATAACTATCTCCACAATTTTAGAACATTTTCATGATCTCAAAAAGAAACTTGTGCTCTTTAGCTATTACTCTATCCCTTCATTCTCCCAGTCATAAGCAACTACTAATGTACTTTCTATCTCTATAGTTTTGCCTTTGATGGAATTATCATATGAATGGAATCATAATGGTCTTTTGTGACTGGCTTTTTTAACATAATATTTTCAAGGCTCATTAATGTTGTAGCATATATCAATATTTTATTCCTTTTTATGGTGAATAAGCCACACTGTATGTATGGATATTCCATACATATTCCATTGTATGGATAAACCACAATTTGCTTGATGGATAGTTTGGTTGTTTCCATCTTTTGTCAGTTATGAATAATGCTGCTATAAACATCCATGTACAAGTTTCTATGTGGATCTATGCTTTCATTTCTCTTGGGTATATACCTAGGAGTGGAGTTACTGAGTCACATGGTAACTCTAACTTTAATCATTTAAGAAACTGCCAAAATATTTTCCAAATGGTTGTACCATTTTACATTTCTGCCAGCACTGTATTAGAGTTCTAATTCTCCATATCCCCACCAATACTTATTTGACTTTTTGATTTCAGCCATTGTAGTATGTCCTTGTATGAAGTGATATCTCATTGTGGTTTTGGTTTGCATTGCTCTCATGACAAATGATATTGAACATCTTTTCATGGGCTTATTTATTGTGCCATTTGTATATCTCCTTTGAAGAAATATCTATAGAGATCCTTTGCTCATATTTTAAATAAAAATGTCTTTTTTATTATTGCATTGTAAGGGTTCTTTAAATATCCTAGTAACAAGTCCCTTATCAGATATATGCAAATATTTTTCCCATTCTGTGAGTTGTCTTTTTACTTTCTTGATTATATCTTTTGAAGCACAAAAGTTTTTACTTTTGATTAAGTCCTATCTATTTTTGTTTTGTTTTCATGTTTTTGGTGTTATATCTCAGAATCCACTTCCATATATGAAATCATACAGATTCACTCTTTCTTCTATGATTTTTATGGTGTTAGCTCTTATATTTAGGTCTTTGATTTATTTTGAGTTCATTTTTGTATATAGTATGAAGTAACAGCCTGCAGTTGGTTGAATGGTATCCCTCAAAGAAGATGTATCTCAGCCTCAATCCATGGTACCTGTAAATCTTGTTCGAAATATGTCTTTGCAGGTGTAATTAAGAATCTTGAGATGAGATCATCCTCAATTTAGGTGGCCCTAAATACAGTGGTTGGTGTCCTTAGAAAGGGACAGGAGAACTGACATAGGGGGATATAGGAAAGGTGTCCATGTGAAGACAGAAATAGAGATTGAAGTTATGCTGTCACAAGCCAAGGAATACCAGGAGTCACCAGCTGCTGGAAGAGGCAAGATTCTCCCCTAAAGCCTCTGTACAGAGATTGGCCCTGCTGGCATCTTGATTTCAAGCTTTTGACCTCCAGAACTGTGAGAGAATAAATTTGTGTTGTTTTAAGCCACCCAGTTTGCAGTAATTTGTTGCAGCAGCTCTGAAAACTAATACAGGGTCCAATGACCTTCTTTTGAATGTGGCTATCTGTCTCAACACCATTTGTTGAAAAGACTATTCTTTCCCCTTAGAATGGTCTTGGCACCCTTGTTAAAATCAGTTGATCATAGCCATATGGATTTATTTCTAGATTTTGATTCAATTTCATTGATTTATATCTCTATCTTTATGCTATTGCCATACTGTCTTAATTACTGTTGGTTTGTACAAAGTTACGAAATTTGTGTTAGTCTGACAGTTTTGTTTAAGATTGTTCTGTATAGGGGTGCCTGGGTGGCTCAGTTGTTAAGTGTCTGCCTTCGGCTCAGGTCATGATCCCAGGGTCCTGGGATCGAGTTTGGCATCGGACTCCCTGCTCCGTGGGAAGCCTGCTTCTCCCTCTCCCTCTGCCCCTGCTTGTGTTCCCTCTCTCGATGTCTCTCTCTGTCAAATAAATAAAATCTTAAAAAAAAAAAAAAAAGATTGTTCTGTATATTCAGGGTCCTTCGAAATTCCATACAAATTTTAGAATCAGCTTGCCAATATCACAAAAAAGCCAGCTGAGATTCTGATAGGGATTGTACTGAATCTGTGAATCAACTGGGGAGTATTGTTGTATCATTTTGAGCCATGAACATGGGATGTTTTTTCATTTTATTAAATCTTAAATTATTTCTTTCAACAATGTTTCATAGTTTTCAGAGAACATGTTTCATGTTTTTCTTGTTAAATTTCTTCCTATTATTAAGTAGAATTGTTTTCTTAACTTCATTTTTAGATTGTTCATTCCTAGTGTATGGAAATACAATAGATTTTTTTATGTTTATCTTGTATCCTGTACCCATGCTGAACTTACTAGTTTTAAGTTTTTTAGAGGATTCCTTAGATTTTTCTATATGCAAGATCATGCTATCTGTGAACAGAGATAATTTCACTTCTTTTCTAATCTGAGTATCTCTTTTTTCTTGCTTAATTACCTTGGCTAGAATCTCTAATATGATGTTTAATAAAAATGGTGAATGAAATCCTTGTCTTACTACTGATCTTAAAGGAAGCATTCAGCTTTTCACCAATAAGTATGATGTTAACTGTGGGTTTTTCATAGATGCCTTTATCAAATTGATGAAACTCCTTGCTACTCCTAGTTTAATTATTTTTAGTATGAAAGGGTATTGGATTTTGTCAAATGCTTTTTCTGTTTCTACTGAGATGATTACATGTTTTTTTTTTTAATTCAATTGATATGGTATATTACATTAATTGGTTTTTCAATGTTAAAGAAACCTTGAATTCCTGGGATAAATACCACTTGGTCATGGGGTATAATTCTTTTTATACGTGGCTGGATTCAGTTTGCTATTATTTTGTTACAAATTTCTGCATCCACCTTGATAAAAGATATTAGTCTGTAGTTTTCCCTCCTTGTAATGTTTTTATATGCTTTTGGTATCAGGGTAATACAGGCTTTAAAAAATGCATTGGTTAGTGCTTTTACTTCTATTTTTTTTGGAAGAGTTTGTGAAGAACTGGTATTAGTCTTTAAAATACTTGTGGGGGGGGAGGTGCGCCTGGGTGGCTCAATCATTAAGTGTCTGCCTTCGGCTCAGGTCATGATCCCAGGGTCCTGGGATCAAGCCCGGCATCAGGCTCCCTGCTCAGCAGGAAGCCTGCTTCTCCCTCTACCACTCCTCCTGCTTGTGTTCTCTCTCTCGCTGTCTGTGTCAAATAAATAAATAAAGTCTTAAAATAAAATAAAATAAAATACTTGGTAGAATTGTGTAACAAAGCCATATAGTTTTCAGATTTTTTTTACAGTTAGTATTTTGATTACTAATTCAATCTCTTTAGTTGTTATAGATCTGTTCAGATTATCTATTTCTTCTTGAGTCAGTTTTGGTAGTTTGTATTTGTAGGAATTTGTCCATTTCATCTAAGTTATATAATTCGCTGGCATACAAGTATTCACAGTATTCCTTTATAATCATTTTTATTTCTATAAGGTCAGTAGTAATGTCTCTTTTTTTCATTTTCTATTTCATAATAACCTTTCTTATCTTTATTAATTTCTTTCTTCTGTTTTCTCTAAGTTTAGTTTACTCTTCTCTTTCCAGTGTTATAAGGCGGAAGGTTAAGCATTGATTTGAAATCTTCTTTTTAAATAGGCATTTTAAAGCTATGAATTTTCCTCTGAAGACTGCTTTAATTGCATCTCACAAGTTTTGGTATACTGTGTCTTCTTGTCATTCATCTCAATGTATATTCTCATTTCTTCTTTGACTACTAGCGACTTAGGCATGTGTTGTTTAATTTCCACATATCTGCTAGTTTCCTCAATATCTTTCTCTTACCGATTTTTAATTTCATTTCCTTCTGGTCAGAGGATAAACTTTTTAGTATTTCAATCCTTTGAAATGTATTGTTTGTTTTATGTATTAGCATATGATTTATCCTGGAGAATGTTCCATGTACACTTCAGAAGTGTACATGGAAACCTATTGTTTTTAGGTGGAATATTCTATAGATGTCTGTTTGGTGTTTTGGGTTTATAGTGTTGTTCAAGCATTCTGTTTTCTGTTGATCTTCTGCCTATTTGTTCTATCTATGACTGAAAGTAGGGTTTTGAAGTCTTAAATTATTATTGTTGAATTGTCTATTTCTCTCTTCATTTCTGTCAATTTTCCTTCATATATTTTGGTGGTTCATTGTTAGCTGCGTATATAATTGTTCTAGCTCCCTGATGGACTGATGCTTTTATCACTATAAAATGTCCTTCTTAATCTCTAATAACATTTTCTATTTCAAAGTCTATTATTTTCTGACAATAGTATAGGTACTCCAGCTTTCTTGTTGTTGCTGCTTGCCTGATATGCCTTTTTCACCCTTTTACTTTCAGTTTGTTTGTTTGTTTTTTAAAGATTTTATTTATTTATTTGACAGAGAGAGACACAGCAAGAGAGGGAACACAAGCAGGGGGAGTAGGAGAGGGAGAAGCAGGCTTCTCCACGGAGCAGGGAGCCCAATGTGGGATCATGACCTGAGCCGAAGGCAGACGCTTAATGACTGAGCCACCCAGGCGCCCCTTCAGTTTGTTCTTTTATCCAGTCTGACAATCTCTGCCTTTCAGCTGTTTAATCTTTTAATGTTACTATTGATATAGCAGGATTTAAGTCTGTCATTTTCCTTTTGTCTTCTATATCTCAACTTTTTTTTGTCTCTCTAGTCCTCTTTCACTGCTTTCTTTTGCATTGAGTGTATATCTTCTAATAAAGAATTTTAATTTAATGATTTTTTTTCACTTAAAATAAGTTATTTCCTCAGTGGTTGCTCTAGGGCTTGCCATAAATAACTTACCAGAATCAGCATTAGTTTACACTAATTCTGGTGAGATAAGAAACAATAATCCTGTATAATTCTATTCTCCTTTTGCCCCTTTTTGTGGTATTGTTATACATATTACATCTATAGTGTTTCAAGCCTAATAATATATTGTTATAATTACCATTTTACATACTTTTATGTCTTTTAAAGAAACTGAAAGGGAACAAGTATATATTTATTGCTTTTGCTACATTAACTTTTTATCATTTCTGGTTCTCCTTTATTCCTATGGATTCAAGTTATCATCTGGAATCATTTCTTTTGCTTAATACAACTTTGTTTCCACTGACTTCCATTCTGCAATTATTGGCAAATATATCACACTTCTATATGATACAGGCCTAACAATACATTGATATCAGGAAGCATGATGCTTCCACCTTTGGTCTTTCTCAAGATTGCTTTGGATATTAGGGGTCTTTTGTGGTTCCATATAAATTTTAGGATTGTCTGTTTATTTCTGTGAAAAATGCCACTGGAATTTTGGTAGTAATTGCAGTGAATCTGTAGGCTGCTTTGGGTAGTATGCACATTTTAATAGTACTAATTCTTCCAATCCATCTTTCCATTTGTGTCTTCTTCAATTTCTTGAATCAATGTCTTACAGTTTTCAATGTACAGGTCTTTCACTTCCTTGGTTAAACTTACTCCAAGGTATTTTATTTTTTTGATGTAATTGTAAATTATTTTCTTAACTTCTTTTTCTGATAGCTTGTTATTGGTGTATAGAAACACAACAGATTTGTGTGTAGTGATTTTGTATCCTGTTAACTTTACTAAATTCGCTTATTATTCCTAAGTTTTTTGGTAGAGTACTTAGGACTTTTTATATATAATATCATTTCATCTACAAATAGTGAGAGTTTTAATTCTTCCTTTCCAAATTGGATGACTTTATTTCTTTTTCTTGCCTAATTGCTGGGGCAGGACTTACAATACTATGTTGAATAAAAGTGGCAAGAGTGGCATCCTTGTCTTGTTCCTAATCATACAGGAAAAGCTTTCAGCTTTTCACCATTGAGTATGATGTTGGCTGTGGGCTGTCATATGTGACCTTATTATTGAGGTATTTTCCTTCTATATCCACTTTGTTTTCTTCTTTAAGCATGGTTTCTTTCTTTTTTTTTTTAAGATTTTATTTATTTATTTGACAGAGAGAGACAAAGCGAGAGAGGGAACACAAGCAGGGGGAGGGGGAGAGGGAGAAGCAGGCTTCTCGCAGAGCAGGGAGCCTGATCAAGCCCAAGGCAGATGCCCAATGACTGAGCCACCCAGGCACCCCTAAGCATGGTTTCTTTCAGTCCTTTGAACATTTTTATAATGGCTACTTTGAAATCTTTGTTAAACCTGACATCTAATCACTCATAGGCAATTTTCCCCCCTGGTGTTTGGGTCTGACTTTCCTGTTTCTTTTTATGTCCTATAATTTGTGTTCAATACTGGACATTTTATATAACACCGCCACAATTCTGAGCATTGACCCCTGCCCTCCCCCACCCCAGGGCTTGTTATTTATTTGCTTATTAGTTTAGTAAGTGGCTGGATGACTTTAGTGAAGTTAATCCCTACTTCCCCCACAAGTGTGAAGCCTTTGATTTTGGTTCCTCAGGGACTGCAGCCTTGTGAATGTCCACAGTTACCATGAGATGGCAGTGGTTTTAGCAGGGCTCTCTTCATCTATTAATTGCTCACACCCAGCTGCTAAGCTCCAATGATTGCCAGGTGGTTGCTTTATGTTTTCAACAATGACCTGGGAAGTGAATTGTTTCATAGACTGATCCAATTAAACGTGGGCACATTTTTTGACCCCAGGAGGGCTCTTCTCTACTGTTTCTTTCCCTGGTTCTATTTACCTATTAGGCTTACAGTTTAGTTTATGTCTCTAACAAATTTACCAGTAGCCCCTTAATTACTCTTTACCACAAGCTCCATTGTTTTTGAGAGCATCTTAGGTGTCAATGTATCCACACTGTTGCAAGTAAAATAATTTCCTTTGGGAGACATTTAGAGTTCTCCGTTTTTAACGGTCTGCTTCCCCCACTGGGCAAAATGTCTTAGCCAGAGCTCCGTATCTGGGGGTGAGACAATGGCATGCTTCTCTCTGAGAGACACCTCTGCTTTAGGAGGTAGAAGGGGAGCAGTAACCTCAGGTCTTCTTGGCTTGCCTCTCCCAGTGTGAAACCTCCACCTTCCAAGGAGGTAAGGGTGGCCAGGGCCCCATTATTCTCAGTGGCACCAACTCCAGAGTAAAGCCTCTATCCAAAGAGATGGGTTGGCCAGAAAGGAATTCTCATCTCTTAAGTACACATACCCAGAACCCAGCCTCAGAACAGGTAGCTGGAGGTAAGAGAAGAAATGTGAAGCCCTGACTCTCCCAGGAAAACAGTCTTCCAACTAAGAGCTGAAATGAGAGGAGACCCTTCTTGTTTAGATCAGTCTGAGGAGTTTCTGTCTTGTTGAGTTGGGAAGGAATAGTCTCTCACTATTCTTCCTGGGTTTTAGTTGAAACTTTTGAATAAATGTTTCTTCATTTGCATATGCCCTTAGGACCATTTCCAAGTCTTTAAATGGTTGTTTTTTAAAACCAACTTTCATTATTTTTGATGGGGAGCACATCTATGGAGCTGCAATGCCAGATATGAAACCTACAATGAGCATGTAACATTGAATCACATTGTGCACACCTGATGACAGTTTAAACGTAATGAGAACAGCTACTAATTTCTTTAAAAAAAAAAAAGTTATTCCCTATCTGGAGTCTCTGAATTTTCACAGGTCAGATTTGCTTCAGATAAAACACTGATATCAGCAAAAGGAATATTTTGCCACTTATAATTTTTCTTCTAGGAGTCAAATCCAAAGTGATAATTCATGACTCAAATTTGGCATAGGAATATAATCCACTCAGTCAAAGATGTTATAGAAAATTAAGTTTACTTGGTTATCTTATAGGTCAGTTACTGCACAATGGCTACACATTTTTAATGAGCTCATATTAGGTTTGCAAAAGTAAATAATCAGTCATTCTAGGATTGTACTCTGTTGGCCATAAAGTCACAAAATGCCTTAATGATACAATTAATATATCCAGAATGTTCTATCACTTACACTTAGTTCAAATACTTTAGTTCTTTAAGGTCAATATATGAAAATGTTTAAAAACACATTTTTAACCTTACCATATTAGGGTCATATCCCAGAGAAAACAAGTATGGTTTTTCTTGTAAAATTGCTTCCTTCCACTTTTCATCAGATACCAAACCAATGTACCAGTCAGTTTCATATTCTTCAAGGCAGTTAATCAGCTCTTTAAAGTCTTCTACTGGACCTAAGCTTGCTTTATCAATCATTAGTTTCAGAGTATACCTTGAAAATGGAGAAACAAAGAACTTTAGAATTTTAAATAAAATTTATAAAATCAACTTTATAGATGAATAGTTTGTTCAATCGATATTTGTAAGACATTGCACTAAAATCATACATATTTCAGATAAAAAGATCAGGGAGAAATGATGGAGTGAAGTGAAAGTGAAGAAATCCAATAAGCCATATGAAAAATAGGTTCTCCACATAAATAAAAAGGAAGTAGAAATTAAAATGTACTCCTGATATACTTACAGTACACACTAAGCATTTTTTTTTTCATTTTTAGGAAAGTGATTATTTTCTGTAGTTAGAAATGAAGACGTATCTCCTTCTAGGTTAAAAAAAATCAATATTTTTCTGTCAGTCATAGTTTATGTATAATCAAAATGAATTACCTGAAAGCTTTTAGTGCTAGCTGGAACAGTTCTGGCTTTTCTGTGAGCCAATCCAAGGCAAGAGACCAAGGCAAAACACCACTGTAAACTCTCAATATATGACCAGGACTGGGAACCATATTGTCTACTCCAAATAAACTAAAATAACAAGTCATTACTGCATGAACATAAAAGTCTTTTAAAACTTCGTCCTTTGCAATTTCTTCCAGGATATTTGAAGCATTTTGTTCTGAATGAAAACATTCCAACTGCCTTAAAACAAATTGGTACCACTCTTCTGGAAATAATGAGCTCATCTCCCTCATTTTGGAATTAGGCAAACAGTTAGATGTCCACTCTTCAGGTAAGCTTAACAAGTGAGAATGAGAACAACTGAATTCCACGAGAGGGATATATGCCACATCTTTTTGTTTTCCTTTGTCAACAACAGGGTATCCCAATATAACTGACTTGTAAAGACTGTTTTCAGGAACTGTGCCTATAGAATGATCACCAACCCCCTGTGATTCTACTGATCCTGGAATAGGCAAATTTATACCTGATACAACTTTTAATTGATCTTTTTCTTCTTTTCCTTTTCTGATAGTTGGCTCATCACCAAAAACATTATCATCAGACCAATCATCCAAAATTTCTGAATTTAAACTATCTGTGTCTTCTGGGGATTGGGTTTGTGGTGAAGCATTCAAAGCAGGCAGGATTATTAGAGATGCTTTCCCTTTATTTTCAGTTTTGTGAACAACCTCCTGCACGCTGGGCTTTCTGGAGCAGTACTGGACAAGTATCCACACAAGTACTTTGATAAGGTCACCTTTAAATTCTTTTAAACTATCATGAGAATCGATTATGCCAGATAGAACATTCCTGGCATCAGAATAGAGTTTTACTGGCAAAACAATACAGGGTGTCAAGACATTTCCAAAGTGTTCATTCAGAGGACATATTCTTGAATATTCTTGTTCAAAGGCACTTTGAAAAACTTCATCAACTCTTTGAGCTTCAGCAGTATGACACGATGTCTCTTGCAATTCTAGCCCCTAAAGAAGAAATAAGAGGTCCTTGAGCTTATGATCAGTTATTACACAGAGAAAAGCAACTACTTTTGTATATGCCCATGGGTTGGATTCTCATAATGAAAATATGGAAAATGCAAAAAAATTTCTTTAACTGAAGAGCTATACCTTTACTCGAACTTACTGGCACTTTAACACACTTGATGCAGCATACAGAGATGAAAAATTATGCTATCTTTTTTTTTTAAAGATTTTATTTATTTATTCATGAGAGACAGAGAGAGAGAAGCAGAGGGAGAAGCAGACTCCCAAGGAGCCCGATGTGGGACTCGATCCCAGGACCCTGGGATCATGACCTGAGCCGAAGGCAGACGCTTAACCATCTGAGCCACCCAGGTGCCCGAAAAATTATGCTATCTTAAAAGAAATTATAGACATGCCGCTAGAAATTGGCAAAACAATTTAATTGGCTACGACCATAATTTTGAAAGACTGTATGTATAGTGAAGGTTGAATCACACTTACAAAAAACTTTTTTTTTAAGATTTTATTTATTTATTTGACAGAGACAGAGGGAGAGAGAGTGAGAGAGCACAAGCAGGGAGGGTGGCAGAGGGAGAGGGAGAAGCAGGCTCCCGCTGAGCAGGGAGCCTGAGGCAGGGCCTGATCCCAGGACCCTGAGATCATGACCCCAGCTGAAGGCAGATGCTTAACTGACTGAGCCACCCTGGTGTCCCCCAAAACTGTTTTAAATATAAAATTTTTTTGGAGGGCAAAGGCAAAATTGGAATGATGTAGCATATACAGTAGTTTTGTATCCTACTTTATATGACAGCATTATTATACTGTATGGATATGCCATAATTTATTCAATCATTTTCTTGTTCCAGTTTTTTAATTATAATAACATTATCATCATACAGATTTATGTATTTGGTTACTGTCTGTCTCCTCCAACTATAATGTAAATTCCATAAAGCAGCTCTCTTTTGGTTACTACTATGTCTGCAGTGCCTAAGCCAGTCCTTGACACAGTACTGGTATGCAACAAATATATGTTGACAGAATGAACACCATGAATGTGTTTTTATTTATTTTTTAAAGATTTTTCATTTGAGGGGGGTAAGGGTAGGAGAGGGAGAGAGTCCCAAGCAGACTCTGTGCCCAGTGCGGAGCCCGATGCGGGGCTCAATCCCATGACCCTGAGATCGTGACCCGAGACGAAACCAAGAGTCTGATATGCAACCGACTGCATCACCCAGGCACCCCTGAATGTGTTTTTATGTGAATTTTAAACACATTTTTATTACTTCTTTATAAGGAATCACTTGAAGAGGATGCATCAGATCACTGTTTACTTGCTATCATTGTTTACTTATTTATACATTTTTACAAAATTACCAGTGTCTTTAATAAAAGACATTGCTGTCAGGTTGTATTAGGATCCAGAGAAAGAACATGGAATGTGAACATCAGAAGCCATTTTTAAATCATGGCTCTTTACCAGGTGTTTGCACACAATCTTGAGTAGATCACTTATCCTGAGATTCCTTTTCTCTTTCAAAGAAAACTAATCCTAGCACATAAGGTTGTGAAGATTTAAGTAATAAAAGTGCTTTGTTGGGGTGCCTGGGTGGCTCAGTCAGTTAAGTATCGGACTCTTGATTTTGGCACAGGTCAAGATTCCAGGGTTGTGAGATCAAGCCCCACATCCAGCTCTGCACTGAGCATGGAGCCTGCTTCACATTCTCTCTACCTCTCCCTCTGCCCCTCCCCCCTCACAATCTCTCTCTAAAAATAAATAAACAATGGATCGTGGATCACCACATCAAAAACTAATGATGTATTGTATGGTGACTAACATAACATAATAAAATTTAAAAAATAAATAAATAAATTTTAAAAAAGTGCTTTGTAAACTTTAAAGCACATAACATATAAATGATGGTAAGATGGTACTGCTAAGCCACCTTGTGTCCAAAAAAATGAAAAGAAAAAAGGACTGCCATCAAAAAGTGTATCTTTACACATATAATAAGAGCACAAAAGATCAGTAAAGGACCCACATTATTAGGCATTATAAAATATACCATTTTAAAAATAGAGCCTAAATTAAGCAATGAAAATGCCCTCAATATTTTTTAAACATTTTTTTTTTTATTATGCCCTCAATATTTTGCATGAGATTTTGCCTTCTCTTACTTATACAGGTTAGACCAGGTTCTCAAACTTTAAGTGAGTCAGAATCACTGGAGGGTAGTTAAAACATAGGTTGCTGGGCCCTCCTCTAGTTTCTGATTCAGAAGGTCTGAGGTGGTACCCAAGATTGTCCATTTCTAATAAGCTCCAGGAGATGTTAATATTCCTAATCTGGAGAACTGAATTTTGAGAACCACTGAGCTAAAGAAAAAGCCTATTAGTCACCAGCAATTTTATCCCATCTGTGCTAAGACAAAAAATTCATTCATTCACCACTATTCATTCAACAAATATTTATCAAGGGCCTATTATGTGCCAGACACTGTTCCAGGGGCTTAGGATATATCCCTTCAGAGAGCCCTGCCCTTGTGACAATTACATTATAGAGTAAAGGGACACAGACATTCAACAACGAAATTAAGTAAATTATATAGTTTGTTAGAAGGTATAAGTGCTAGAAAAATAGAAAAAGTAAAGCCAGCCAAGGAGGACTGGGAGTGCCAGAAAGGGAGTGGGAATACAATTTTAAATAGGATAGCAATAGTAGATTTCACTGAGGTAACATTTGAGTAAAGACTTGAAGGTGGTAAGGGAGTTAGCTGTGTGGTTATGTGAAGGAAGAGCATTCCAGGTAGAGAGAATAGCCAGTAGGCTGGAGTAGAGTGAGAGGATTCAAGCAGTAGATGAGGCCAAGAGGAAATAGAGAGCCTGACCATTTAGGGCCTTGGCTTTTATTCTGAATTAAAAAAGAGATCCATTGTAGGGTTTTGAGTAGAGAAGTGACATGAAATGAGTTAGATACTAAAGATCACTCTAGTTGAGAACAGACTATAGGGAGGCACAGGTAGAAAGAAGCAGGGAGACCAATTAGGCGGTATTGCAATTACCCAGGAAAGAGATAAAGATAGCTAATAGTAGGATGGTGAGAAGTGGTGGGATATAGGATATGGCTTAAAGACAGAGCCAACAGGATTTCTTGTTGGACTGCATATGGGGTATGAAGGTAAACAGGAGTGAACTATCACTGAACTAAAGCCCAAATGTTTTGGGGCTGAACAACCAGAAGGATGGAGTTGTCACCAAGGACTGCTAGGCTCTGGGGTAGTCTGATGTTAAGAGGTCAAGGAAAAAAGGAGCGCCTGGGTGGCTCAGTCGGTTAAGCGTCTGCCTTGGGCTCAGGTCCTGATCCCAGGGTCCTGGGATTGAGCCCTGATTCTAGCTCCCTGCTCAGTGGGGAGGCAGCTTCTCCCTCTCCCCCTTTATCGTGCTCTCTCTCTTTCTAATAAATAAACTCTTAAAGAAAAAAAAAAGAGGTCAAGGAAAAGAGAGGGAGCCATCAAAGGAGACTGACAAGGACTGACCCATGAAACAAGCTAAAAGAAGGCACTGTGTCAAATGCTGCAAACAGGTCAAATAAGACCAGGTCTGAGAACTGATCTTTGGACTTGGCAATGTGATAGTTATTAGAGACGCTGACAAGAGTAGTTTTGGTACAGTAATAGGTAACAGGATCAAAAACAGAGTAAGTTGAAGAGAAAATGAGAGAAATGAAATTTGAGATTTGATTATAAGCAATTCTAATAAGGTATCTTGCTTTAAAAAGAAGAGAAAGACATGGTGTAGCAGGTAGGGTAGTAAGGATCAGAAGAGGTTTTTTATTAAGTTGAGAATGCTTATGTGATATAGGAGTGAAAAAATATTACTGAGTCACACTTTTGAGATGCACAACTAGATAAGGATATAAAGAACAAGCCTGGACAAAAAGGGGGCAGGTACATTTTGTTACTATGCTCTATTATACAATCAACACTAGTCTACCTATCAATATGTGCATACTGAAATACACTTTAAAAATCCCTAGGTGTTTTCACAGGTAATTACTTGATACTCTTAAGTTGAGCTCTTAAGTGTATGATGTGTCTCTAACAGGTAAAATTTTACACATGTGCTACAAAAATACTAGAGAGGTTTCAAATGTACATTGACCTTAATGTTAATACAGCAGTAAGTATAACCACATTCTAGAATCATTATCCATATTAAACGATCCTGAAAACGGCCCAAGTAATGAGACCCAGGTAAGAGGAGACCTAAAACAAATTAGAAAAAAGAAAAAGTAAGTAATATTCAAGCTTGTTTTATTTTGCCATGTGAATCTTCAAAACTGATAAGACACTTGGAACTGACTCATAGCTACTTTTATTCTCTATGTCAAGAATACAAACAATTATTCATTGCATATCAGGGGGCATTAAATTAAGCTCTTTACAGGAATAGGAACAGTTAAAAGAGAAAATCTATAGGTAATACTACATAAAAATTCAAGGATATATTTTCCAGAGAAACAACAAATTAGAACCTGCTATATAAAATCCTAAATACAGTAGGAAAAGTATAAAAGTACTAAATGTAAAAAATGTATAAAAGCCAACTTCAAATTAATTATTTATTTAAAGCATTTTGGACATTTTTTATGAACACACATACAAAAATGTTTTGTGTACTAAAAATTTACATAAAATGCTACTACCACACTATACAAAAACTTTAAAAAATTAGTTTTCTCTCAACATTACATCTCTGAGATCTGAGCATGTTGACTGCAAATAGCTCAAGTCACTCGTACCTACAATTGAGAATTCACTGTATGATTACAGCTAAATTTGAATATTCATTTCTCGTTAATAAACACATTCCATATATTGCCAATTTTTTTCTGTTTTACATAATACTGCAGGGATTACCTCTGTGCAAGTCTGCTTAGACAACATGCTGTACAGTAAAGAGTTAGCATAGCAGAACTGACTGCTACCCTTTAAAAGTCCTGTTTGCAAAGTTGGTTGATGGCTGGCATCTGGGAACTTGAGTTTCAGAAGAATTCTCACCACCCTTCCTGATAAAAGTCTCATTGTGTCCAGTTTGTACAAACAATACAGTTTATACTGAATACCTGCTTTCCTTCTGGGAGTCTGGAATCTTGGTACACGCTAGGCAGAGGGTGCCTATGTGACCATGCCCCAATAAAAGCCCTAGGCACTGAGTCTCAAATAAACTTCTCTGGTAGCCACCATATCACACATCTTGTGACAATGTGTGGCTGGGGAATTAAGCATGTTCTGTGTGATTCCATTGGGAGAGGACATCTGGAAGTTTGCGCCATGTTTTACCCCACGTAATTTTTCTCTTCATTGATTTTGTTCTGCGTCCTTTCACTATAATAAATCGTAGCCACAAGTACAAATGTATATTGAGCTCTACAAGTCCTCTTAGTGAATCATCAAACCTGGATATGGGCTTGGAGACCCCAAAAACACATGTGCAAAAGTTTCTCTAGAATTAGAATCTAATTAGAATTATGGAATCTAAAACTGAATCCCTAGGCCATGGGATACGTACACCTTTACTACAGCCTATTAGTTTACTCTTCAAGGTGTATTTATTATACAAATTTATATTCCCTTCCAGCAGGGTGTGAAAAGTTCCTGTTCCTCATACCCTAGCCAATACTTGGTAATGTCAGACTTTTACATTTCTGTCAACCAGATATGTGTGAAATGTTATCTCACTGTTTTTTCCCCCCCAGGGATACTTCATAACACACTTCTTGGCTGAGTGTAATTGATTTGATAATAAAGTATAATTTCTACCTCAGGTATTTATTACTTTAGATATAAGTCAAACCTCACAGGTATTTTTACAAGTGACACAGTATTATATAATAAACATTAATTAGAACTGGATGAAAAGGTTAAAAGTGTAGAATATTTTCTATGAGAAAGAAAAATGATTATTCATTAAAAAATTTGTACTACAAAGTTTTTCCTAAATTACCTCACACATTTAGATAACAAAGAGATAATTAGAAAAGTTCAATCCAAGTAAGCATTTCATTAAAATTCTAATTTGAAATTGCTATTCTACCTGGCATCGGTTTGCCAAGATGTCACTGGGTATTTCTAAAACAAGTTTCAAGGGCTAAGGCATATGGTAGGAGACAACATACTACTGTCATCAGCTTGGGCATTATTTAAAACCAACCTCAAGAAGTACAATATAGTTGAATTTGTAGTTAGCATACAATGAAAGCATTGACTTATAAAATTAGTTCATCCTCATAAAAAAATATATTTTCTTGCTGGTACTTGCATAGTACTTCATTTTGGGAGGCTACTGATCATTGACCACAGCTTTTGTTACCTTGCCCTGTACCCTTGTCAGACTGCTTAGGTTGCTGTACGGTACCTAATAAGATACGAACCAACTCCCTTAAGTCCTTCAATCTGATATTATATAAAGCTAGTTTTTACTATTTATGGACCTAAGCCATTGCATCTACTTGCAGTGAACTCACTATAAATTCATGGAAACTTGGGGAGAATAAGGTGTTTTCATGGTTCAGTGGTGGGACTATAACCTGATTTTATTCAAGAAAATCTTCTTTAAAAAATGTCAAATCACCCTAATGAAACTTCCCCTTACTATTTTTATGACTTTATTTACCTCAAAATAAGAAGCAAGAGAGATACTTCTATTTCATAGTCCTTCTGCCATCCATCAAAGTAGTAGAATCTATATAATGGTTGGATCAAAAGACTTCTTCTGTATATTCACTTTTTTGTATTTTAAATGTATTCGTGAGGATTTTTTAAGCACAACCTATTTACTTACCTAAACTCCCAGTGGCCATTGCAGCCTGCAGCGCAGCGGTCAGACGTGGGACCATGTGGGCGTAGTACACTGTGTCTGCACACACGCAGGCTGTGGCACCCACTGCTCCCGGCCAAATCCGAACAGGTCGGGGAAAGCCCACCAAGAACAAAGGAAGGGTGAAGAGGGGGAGTAAGGGAGAGGAGAGCAGCGTAGAGAAAACGATGAAGACCAGCACGAATGGAGAGAAGACAATGTTGAGTATACATAAAGTGGTGGTTGACTTTCGACGTTTTTTCTCAGTCAACGATGCCAAAAGTATGGTCACAACAAACTGCAGCTTAGAGATGAACTGAATCAGACGATCACGCATGATACCAACCTGTAGAGATGTAAAAATGATTTTTTTTATTCTGAAAGACTTCATGAATTTTCAAGATCATATAAGGAAAACTGTATATTATTATTGCTGCAATATTTTTGAGGAAATAGCCCTTATATGAGATTCTTTGTTATAATTTTCTCCAACCTCACAAGTAATAAATGAGTCTACATTTTTAAAAGTTTGGGCTCTCTTAGAAAAAAAGTAATGCCAAAGAGAACCAACAGAGTACTAGGATATCTTAAGGCTGACTAACTTTTGCATTATATGCTTGTTAGGTCATGAGAACCAGAAGTGGTAAATAGTTAACTATCCTTAATTCATCCTTATTTTAGAAAGTATTTTATAGATTAAGAAACAGAGGTCATAAGACAGATCTTAATAGATTGAAATCATATAAGTATGTTCATACATATCATGCAAAGTATGTTCTTTAACCAAAACAGAATTAAATCAACAATAGAAATAAAAAATAATAAAGGAATCTTGAAATTAAAAGACACATTGCTGGGGTGCCTGGCTGACTCAGTTGGTAGAGTATCTTGGGGTTGTAAGTTTGAGCTCCATGTTAGGTGTAGAGATTACTTAAAAATAAAATCTTACCAAAAAAGAAATTAGAAGACACATTACTAAATAACCAATGGGTCAAAGGACATCACACAAAAAAATGAGAAAACATTTTGAGATGAATGAAACAAAAACACAACATACCAAACTTGTGATTCAGCTAAAACAGTGCTCAGAGGGCAATTTATAGCTAGCTTTAAATGCCTATATAGAAAAAAGATCTTAATAACCTAATCTTCCACCTTAGGAAACCAGAGAAACTAGAAAACAAAGCACAAACTGAACCTCAAGTATGCAGAAGGAAGGAAATAATAAAGATTAGGGCAGAAATTAATAAAATAGAGAATATAAAAACAATAGAAAAAAATCAATGAAACCAAAAGCTGGTTTTTTTTGAGATCAATATAATGGAGAAACCTCTAGCTACAATGACAAAGAATAAAACAGAGAAGACTCAAATTACTAAAGTCAGGAATGAAAGAGATAACTTTATACCACCAATCTTAACAGAAAAAAATTAGAAGGATTATAAGAGAATAATATGACTGTATGTTGATAAATTTGATCACTTAGATGAAACCAACAAGTTCCTTGAAAAACATAAAGCAACTCAAGAAGAAATAGAAAAACTAAACAGACCTGTAAAAAGAAATTGAATTTGTAATTTAAAAGCTACTCACAGAGAAAAGCTGAGGCTCAGATGGCTTCCATATTACAAAATACTACATAACACAAAATATTTAAGGTACATACGAAATATGATCAAACATTTAAGAATAATTAGTATGAAATTCCTAACTCATTTTATGAGGTCAGGGCTATTTTTATATCTAAACCAAAGACATGACAAGAAAAGAAAGCTACAGATACATATAAATATCAATCACACAAAAATACCAGCCAGCCAAATCTTCTAACACATAAGCAGGATCATACACCATGACCAAATGGCATTTAGTTCTAGAATGCAAGGTTGGTTTAACAACCAGAAATCAATGTATTATACCATGTTAACAGATTAAAGGACAAAAACCACATGACCATTTCAATAGACATAGAAAATACATCAGACAAAATCCAACACCCTTCATGATAAAAAGACTAACCAGAAATAGAAGGGAACTTCTTCAACCTGGTAAAGAACATCCACAATAGGGACACCTGGGTGGCTCAGTCGGTTAAGCCTCTGCCTTTGGCTCAGGCCATGATCCCAGGGTCCTGGGATCGAGTCCCACACTGGGCTCCCCGCTAAGGGGGGAACATGCTTCTCCCTCTGCCTGCTGCTCCCCTGGCTTGTGCTCTCTCTCTCTCTCTCTCTGACAAATACATAAATAAAAAACCTTCTTAAAAAAAAAGAACATCTACAATAGCTGATATCATATCTAATGGTAAAAGACTGACATCAACTTAATGGAGAAAGACTGACTGCTTCCCTTTAAGATGTCCACTCTTCTATTCAGCATTATACTGGAGGTTCAGGCCAGGGCAAGTAGGTAAGAAAAAGAGAGGAAAGACATCTAGATTGAAAAGGAAGAAATAAAAATATCTCTACTATCTCTAATTTGCAGATGATGTGATCTTATACACAGAATGTCTTAAAAAAATCTACTAATAATCTACCAGAACTAATAGAAGTGAGGTTTTAGGACACAAGATTACTATTTTAAAAAATCAGTTGTATTCTATACTCTAGCAATAAACAAGCCAGAAAGTGAATTAAGAAAACAATTCCATTTATAATATCAAAAAGAATAATATACTTAGGAAAAATTTAATAAAAGTGTAAGACTTGTAACACTGAAAACTACAAAACATTATTGAAATAAAGATCTTAAAAAAAATATAAAGACATGTCATATTGATGGATAGGAACAATTAACATTTTTAAGATGGCAATACTCCCCAAATTGATCTACACATTTGAGGTAATCTCTATCAAAGTTTCAGATGCCTTCTTGCACAAACTTAAAAGCTAAAACTAATATTTACATTGTAATAGAGAGGCACTGAAAGAGTCAAAACAATGTTAAAAAAGAAGAACAAAGTTGGAAGACATACTTCCCGATTTCAAAACCTACTACAAAGTATAGTAATAAAGATAGGATAGAACTGGCATAAGGACAGACATATAGATAAATGGAAAAGAACTGAGAGTCCAGAAATAAACTCTCACATCTGTCATTTGATTTTTGAACAGGGTGCCAAGAAAAGTCATCGAGGGAAGGGTAGTTCTTTCAATAAATGGTGTTGGGACCATTGTATATCCATATATAAAAGAATGGATTTGGAAACCTACCTCATATCATATACAAAAATAAACTCAAAGTAGATCATAGACCCAAATGTAGTAGTTACAGTTTTAACTGTAAAACTCTTAGAAGAAAACACAGTAAATCTTCATGATTTGGGAATAGGCAGTGTTTATTAGACATGACCCCAACAATTCAAGCAGTGAAAGAAAAAAAGAGATAAATTGAACTTCACCAAAATTAAAAACTGTTTTTGCTTCAAAGGATATTACCAAGAAGGAGAAAGACAGCCTACAGAATGGGAGAAAATTTTTATCATATATATGTCAAGGAACTTGTATCCAGAATATATAGGAACTCTTAAACCAACAATAAAAGGGCAAGCCACATAAAATGGACAAAGGATCTGAATAGACATTTCTCCAAAAAACATACACAAATGGCCAATAAATTTATGAAAAGATGATTAATTAGCATTTAAGGAATGCAAATCAAAATTACAATGAGATAGCAGGTCACACCCACCAGAATGAGTATAATGAAAAAGTTAGATAATAACAAGTGTTGGTATGGATGTAGAGAAATCCTCAGGCATTGTTGGTGGGAATGTATAATGGTACAACCACTTTGGAAAAATGTTTGGCAGTACCTTGAGGTGTTAACATAGACTTACTACGAACTGAAATTCCAGTCCTAGGTAGATATAGTTAAGAGAAATGAAACCATATGTCCAAAAAACAAATGTCCAAAAACATGTACACAAATGTTCATAGCAGCATTATTCATAATAATCAAAAAGTAAAAGCAACCTAAAAATCCATCATCTGATAAATAAATCAACCAAAGAAACCAAAAGTATATTAATGGTTGCTGGGGCTGGAGTGGGGGGTGGGTGGGATGGAGAGTGGAAACAGGGAAGGACATTGATGTGCGTGAGGTTTCTTTTTGGGATGTTGAAAATGGTCTAAAATTAGACTGTGGTGATGGCAGTAAAATTCTGTCTACGACTGAACTGTGTAAGTGGATGATTTTATGGTATGTGAAATACATCTCAATAAAGCTAATAAAACATATGCTTACCAGTAAGAGTCTGATTCCTGTATCCAGGCTTCTGTTCCACCACACATCTGTATTAGAGATCAACAAGTGTACTACTGATACAATGACTGTCTCCAATAAAGCATTTTCTGTATTCTGCCACACCTGCAGTACACAAATTATCAGGTAGAATTTGACAAATTTAAGTAAACTGTTAGGATAAGCAAAACTGCAATTCAACTTAGCAATACAAAAAATACTATTAAGTGCTTATTAGGATTACCATTCTAAAAGCTCTCGTGAATCCAATGGAGACAGACACAGAGTGGAGCCCTTGTAAGGAACTGTCCAATGAAAGAAATGCTATCATAGCAAAGGGTGACACTAGGACAAACACAAAAAATAGACTAATTAAGGCAAAGTAACCTCTTCTACCATATTTTACTTTGGCTAATATGATTTTTATGAGCACATTTAAGCAGTTAACTGAAAAAAATAATAAACCAAAACATAAAAGAGTAAATGCCTGTATGCTATACATTGCAAAAATATGGGAATTCAATAGTTTTACATACTTCCTAGATATAACACAAAGTTAGTAGATTTTATGTTCTTACCTAGATTTAGCAAAATCCGTCTGACAACACCAATCTTCACAAGCCTTGTTTGCTTCTCTAAGAATAAAGTCACAGTTTGCACATCCTTTGGATAGAAAGGGTTTCGGAAAATTCCAAAGATACAGACACTCTGAATTTCTCTAAGTATCCACAGTATTATAAGCAGTATCATCAAAACATAGCCAACAATAGCCTGAGGACTGTTTTTGGAAATCTGTGAGAAACCAGCAAAATGATGCAGCAAACTAGTTTCTATGAGAGCCAAGACTAAAATGATGATGTAGAAAAGGCACTCCTTCCAAGTAAACTGTTTTTCTGAATCACTGGGTAAAGGCTTAGATTTGGTTCCAACTCTGTGTCTAGTCACACTGTGTTTGAAGGCAAGACCCACGTCACTTAGGTTAAGACTCAGTAAGAACCCAAGTCCCGTCATGAAAAGAACCACACCAACAGTGCTGGGAATGAAATATGATGTTACCGCTGTTCCAGCAGAAATGATGAACATTAGTAATAACCTGCAGAGAAAAAGAAAGATTTGCTCAAAAAGGAAAATTGTACTTTAAGTTATGCAGAACTTTAATACTTAAAATAATTACCGTAGGTGCGTTGACATAGATGAGCCTCCAAGGCCAAACTCTAAAACCTGCTCCATTGCCCATAAGAAAAGTGCATCAGGTGGGGGCAGAGTCCCGAGTGCCCACAGAAAGGGTAGAAATATAAACAAGATGTGTAAAATCTGATTCACTTGTTCTAGAGCTGGTATATTTACCATAAACCTGTAAGAAAAAGGAAACATTTAAATCATACCAAATAATATTCAGAAGAGTATCTTCCCAGGGAAAACAAAACAACACATGCAACCCACTCCCTGAAACAAAGGAACATTTACAAAAAGATCCTAGTCCCAAACTGCGAAAGATCAACATTTATAAATTGTGACCATGTCTTTCCCTCTTATCAGCAACTACCCCTACTCAATTGTCTATGAGATTAGCACTTAGAAAATATGTGGATTCAAATGTGGAAAGAAGGAAGAATTAATTAAAAGCAATTTACTGAATAAAATTGAATTTAGGGATTTGTAAAACTGAACTGAGCCCAGAGTAAAAATATTTCACCCTTACTTGTCTAAACTACATTGGCTGAAATTCTAGCAATGATTCTTCAAAGTTTATAATTTCCTTTTTTTTTTTTTAAAGATTTTATTTATTTATTTGACAGGAAGAGACACAGTGAGAGAGGGAACACAAGCAGGGGGAGTGGGAGAGGGAGAAGCAGGCTTCCCGTGGAGCAGGAGCCCGATGCGGGGCTCGATCCCAGGACCTGGGATCATGACCTGAGCCGAAGGCAGACGCTTAACGGCTGAGCCACCCAGGCGCCCCTGAAGTTTAAAACTTTCTAATTTAAAATTGTAAGTGACTCTGGGAAAGCCAAAGCCTTCTTGATGTTCTTACTATTAGTAGCTAGCAAAGAGACCTCTTCTTGTTCTCCTACTATATCCTCTCCCCGCCCATACTGTCTTAACCCCAGGTCCCAGAATTTGAAGTCAGTATAATTCATATCAGAAGTAAGCAACATTAGGTTATGAATATGTCTCTGTGGGTTAGCCTGGGAACTTAACTAGCCACTTATAATATTGTTTTTATTTTATATAAATAATGGTATGGATTTGAGAATACAAACCTGTAAAATACAATCTCATAAATTAGAGATGGCTTCTATAAAGTGGAAAAATTGGTTCTTGGTATAGCACTTACCAGTTAAATATAGTATTATATGGTTTTAAATAATTTAATAAAAACTTAAAGCATAGAAGAATAAGCACTATCAATATATTACTATTTTTTTTTTTGGAATAAAGCTAACCAGTAATGTCCTAATACTTACAATGTTCCAAAGATAACTTGCAAAAGAGAAAACTAAATCTCAAAACTTGTAACGTAATTATAATACTTGAATACCTGAACTGTTAGGAATCAAAGTCAAGGAGAAGGCACCTCCTGTAATAATTACCCACTTAAGTGTATGTTAACAGCCCAGAAGCAAATGTATAGCAACTATGGATATAATAATGACATAATGTGTTTGCTCATACAGATATCAGGACTATGTCAGCTAATGCACTGTCTCATAATATATGTCCTTCAAATTTTTGTAAGCAGAGAATTAATGAATACAAGGTTAACAATGTGATGCTAAATTAGAGGACAATATTTTTTGTAATGTAGTTTTAAAATACATTTCATTCTGGGAAGAAAATACTCAAGCACCAAAGCGGAAAAACCACACACAGTAAATTGCAGGAAGGTCAAGGAAAACATGCAGATCTACAGTTATTTTTGTTAAAGACTGTTAACATTTCTCTTTCTAATATATTCAAGGATAGTATAATTTGGGTAAAAATAATGTATACTCAAGAAATATTTTACCCAAGTTCGATTAAACCTCCCCAAATCTTTTTGTTCTTAAGTAATGACAGAAAATCTATTTATATACAAGAATATCACACACAAATATAAGCCTATGTAATTTAAGCAACCAAACATTTTGATCACTTTCCTGTATGACTCAGGGTCAAATAATATGATTATTGTGGTTAAGTCTTTTATATGGAAAATATGTTTGAATTCTATTTCTGATAATGTAACATGAATTTTCTAGGGCAAAATATCTAAGCTCTCAAGAAAAAAAACTTTGTTTGAATCTAACAACCATAAAAACATTCCAAATCTGTAAACCCACTAAGATCCACATGCCCAGAAATCCACATGCCCAGAAAAAAAGATGTTTATTGTGGCTAAGATGACATAAATATGCATCATTCATTGAAACAATTCCTGAGAGTCTATGAACTAAGCACTTATAGGTTTAACGCCTGTCTTTAGTGAAAATGCACAGAAAAGTCATTTAAAATTCTTAACACACAAGTGAGCTGGGTAAAATAAAGAATGGGGAAAGAGAAATTATTATACTGTGAGGCTTGTCTCTTCAACTTTTACGTTTTCTGAAATAAAATTAAGACACAATTTGATATATTTGACAACTGTCCAAACTTAAACAGTGCATACATTTCACATATATTTGCAGTATCATACCTACTATATAAAGATCATCTTGATTCTTATTTTGTTGACCAAATTTTTTTTTAATTTAAATTCAATTGGCCAACATATAGTACATTGTAAGTCAAGTGGGAGGTAATTGTTCTGAACAAACATATCATCTTTTTCTATAAAAATAGATTTGGGCTTGCTTTTGTCTTCTCCTTTTAGTTGAAAAAGAAAACTCTAATGATCAAACTGTAAACATTAAAACTGTATATTAAATTCAACTAGAATCAGTAAAAAAAATTAATGTTCTTTCATTTAGAAATGAGTAATACAGAAAGTCAAGGTAACCATATTATAAGTTAACAGATTTTTTTAAAATTAAAGAACCTAGGGCATCATTTTAAATGCAAAGATGTATTATAGCAGGTATATAATTTCTGATTTCAAAAATAGCACAGTGAGACAGTAACTCAAGAATCTAAATTCTGAAAATAATCTTTTTTTTTAAAGATTTTATTTATTTGAGAGAGAGAGAATGAGAGAGAGCACATGAGAGGGGGGCAGATCAGAGGGAGAAGCAGACTCCCCGCTGAGCGGAGAGCCCGATATGGGACTCGATCCAGGGACTCCAGGATCATGACCTGAGCCGAAGGCAGTCGCTCAACCAACTGAGCCACCCAGGCGCCCCAATTCTGAAAATAATCTTACAAACTCAAATCTTTTAGAAGAGGATGAATGTGTGTATATATATATATATATATATATACTCAAATTTACTGCTAACTTTTCAAAACCAAGTATTTAACTGTAGTATATTTTACGACTAGTAAATGGTAGTGGTACTAACAAACCCATTATAATTGAATTTCCCATAAACTAATTCTCCCCTTACATATTTGATTAGGTGAAGAACAACAAGGATATTATAGTGTCCTCTGGTCCATAAATGTAGCACAACTAGAAGAAATTAAGATTTAAGGAATAGCAAATGGCCCCTTAAGAACAGGTCAGTTTCAGGGGCGCCTGGGTGGCTCAGTCCTTAAGCGTCTGCCTTCGGCTCAGGTCATGATCCCAGGGTCCTGGGATCGAGCCCCACATTGGGCTCCCTGCTCAGTGGGAAGCCTGCTTCTCCCTCTCCCACTCCCCCTGATTGTATTCCCTCTCTTGCTGTGTCTCTGTCAAATAAATAAATAAAATCTTAAAAAAAAAAAAAAAAAGAATAGGTCAGTTTCAGTACAAAAACTGGCTAAGTATTTTTTTTTAAAGATTTTATTTATTTATTTATTTATTTATTTATTATTATTATATATTATTTATTTATTTATTTGAGAGAGACAGAGAGAGAAACAGCATGAGAGGGGATAGGGTCAGAGGGAGAAGCAGCCTCCCTGCTGAGCCGGGAGCCCGATGTGGGACTCGATCCCAGGACTCCGGGATCATGACCTGAGCCGAAGGCAGTCGCTTAACCAACTGAGCCACCCAGGCGCCCCTGGCTAAGTATTTTTAAATGTCTTATTTTAGGCTGCCATAACAAAATACCACAGACCAGGTGGCTTAAACAATAGAAATTTATTTCTCATAGTTCTAGAGGCAGGAAGATCAGAGTGCCACCATGGTCGGGTTCTGATGAGAACACTCTTCAAGGCTTGCAGACAGTCAACTTCTCACTGAATCCTCACATGGTGGAGAAAGAGAGAGATCAAGCTCTCTGGTCTCTCTTCTTATAAGGGCACCAATCCCATTAGAATAGGACCACCCTGATGACCCAACTACCTCTCAAAGACCCCCATCTCCAAATACCATCACATTGGGGATTAGGGCCTCAACATATGAATTTTGAGGGGGCACATACATTTATTCCTTAACATTCTACCCCAGTCTCCCAAATTCATGTTCTTCTTACATGCAAAATACATGCATCCCATCCCAACAGTCTTAACAAATTCCAGCATCAACTCTAAAGTCCAGTTTATCTAACTACCATCTAAATCAGATATAGGTGACACTCGAGGTACACCGGATCCTGAGGCAAAATCCCTCTCCAGCTGTGAACCTGTGAAATCAGATAATTTATGTGCTTCCAAAATAAAATGGTGGGACAGCCCCAGAATGGACATTCTTATTCCAGAAGGGAGAAACAGGAAAGAAGGAAAGGGTGACATGCTACAAAGAAGTCCAAAATGTAGCAAGGCAAATTCCATTAGATCCCAAGGCTGGGAAAGAATCCTCTTTGGTTTCACACTCTGCCCCCCAGGCCAATAATAATCACCCAAACAGCTCTAGATGGGGGTCCCACCCCCAAGGCTCTGTAGGGCAATACCAGCCCCAAGTCTTCCAGATTTTAATTTGTTGAAACCAAAGAAGTAGCCCTGACAATCTCTGAATCACTTTTGGGGTCATTTTTCCTGTCAAATCTAAAAAGTCTAACAGCCTTAGTTCATTTCATCTTGTCTCTGACCCTTTTCGTTGAAATTGGCAGTATTTTTCGTCATACAACCCCATAAACTCTTTATTTAGTGGTAGTCCAGTCACATTCTTGGTGCTCACTTCAGAACATGCTTTCTCATTTTTTTTGCAGTATGGATAGGCCAAAAATGTTCGAAACCTTCAAGTTCTGGTTCATTTTTGCTTATCAATTCCTTCTTCAACTCATCTCTCCTTTCGTATAAGCAGTCAGGAGGAATCAAGCTGTTCTTTGAACCACTTGCTTAGAAATCTCCTCACCTCTATATCCAATTACATCACTCTCAAGTTCTACTTTCCACAAAACATTAGAAAGCGGTTCAGCCAAGTTTTGTGCCACTTGATAACAAGAATCACCTTTCCTCCAGTTTTCAATAACAGGTTCTCATTTCTAAGACCTCATCAGAAATGCCTTTAAGTACGTATTTCTAGCATGCACCTCAAAACTCTTCCAGTCTTTATCCATTACCCAATTTCAAAGCCACTTCCACATTTTTAGGTATCTGTTACAGGAGCAACCCACCTCTTGGTATCAAAATCTATCTTAATCAGCTTGGGCTGCCATAATAAAATACCAGACTGGGTGGCTGATACAACAGAAATTATTCTGGAGGCTGGAAGTCCAAGATCAGCGTGCCAGCATGGTCAGGTTCTGCTGAAAACTCTCTTCCTGGTTTGCAGACAGCAGCCTTCTCACTGTATCCTCATATAGTGGAGAAAGAGAGAGATCAAGCTCTCTGGTGTCTCTTCTTGAAAGAGCACTAATCCCATCAGATCAGGGTCTCACCCTCATTTTCCTAATTGCCTCCCAAAGATCCCATCTCCAAACACCAACACACTGGGGTATGGGCTTTAACATATGAATTTGAGGGGGGACATGAATATTCAGTTCATTACATGCCTATACATTTCTACCTGGACACGAACCTGTGAAAGAGAAAGCTGTAATCTATAGAAACAGAGAAATAAAAGTCAGATTTAGAAAAGGTAAGCAAAGGGGGTTATCCAACAATTTTGTAAACAGTTTGGTAAACAATTTTGTTTAAAAACTCTATTTTCTATTTTTCTACTATAGCAAATCAAAAAAATTAATATTCCTTCTGTATAGTTGCTACAAAATTAGAAATAAGTTATTCATCTCAAATTCACTCAATCTGTACATAATATTTATGTGTATAAATTTCAAATTCTTCATTAGACCCTCATAGGAAAGTTCCATCTCTTTTCATAGGTCTCAGCCAGGCTAGCTTATAGATTCATAGCTCGTTATTGAAAGTGAAACACAGAATTGAAATTTTGCTTATTTATCTTACCTTTAAAGGGTTTTCTTTTTACTCTTCAATAAGGTTTAATTACTGCTTTCGTATGAATGTTTAATAGAGATTACTCCTAAGAGATTAATCATCAGAACAACCTATCATCCAATGGTTTGGTCTTGATGACTTTCAATTCATAGATTCCTTTTTTTAATACTAAGGAGAGCTCATACTATGAATGCTTAAAAATAAAGCAAGTTATAAAGTATCTGATAGCTTATTACCTGTGTGCAAGATCTACAGAAACAAAGGAAAAAATATAAAGAGGTCTCGTAAGAGGAGTGATTTCGTAAGTATCCTGGGGTTGGAAAGTCGCAGTCTCTGCAGCTGTGTTTACAATTAATGAATATTCTCCTATACATAATGTCATCCATCCAAAGACAAACAGTAGAACAGTGCCTCCTGTGCTGCCATACAGCAGGGATATTCTCTTCGGGAGCAGATACCATGTTCCAAGACCACACATTAACCCAGCAAGAAAAGAATGAAGAACTGTATTGGCTATATATTTCTTGCCAGGAATTAGAAATTTGATAGTCTCAGTACCAGCACAACTTGTAAAGTCATGTTCATCTTCCTCTGCTAAGATATCTGTGGTTAGCATTCTTTCTACCGTCACCGATTGGTTTCTGGCATATAAACTTGTGAACTGGATGATAAATGCAGCGAAAAGCATTAGTCCACCTGAAAACGCTGCTGTGTAATAGTCTTCCAAAATGCCCAACTGATACAAGAGTGTTCCTAGTCCACCCCAAACCCATGGTATCAGAAAAAGGATAATTTGATTAACATATATGTAAGGAGGGGCGCAATAGCCTAATTTGAATCGAGGGCCTCCAAGAACAGTCTGCGGAAAGCGCTTCAGAAAGAAGTCCTGTTTGTAATCATTCAGCAGAGGCACATCTGGACTCATCCTTCTCATTCAGGATTATTCTGAAAGTCACATCCTCTTCTGGAACATAGCAGTCTCTAAGCAAAAGAAAAAAGTCATTACTTGACAATGTCATACTTAAAAGATGGAGGGAGGGGGCACATTTCTATTTTTCTCTCCTTAATTCCTTCAAGGGCAGGGTTTAGAACTTCACGTCTCTAGCTCCTCCCCATTGCCTGATGCACACGTGGCACTAAACAAATAGTTGTGAAGTTGTTTTTTACTTGAAAAAGATTCATATTAATTATTAATTTATCTAGAACTTAATATTTAGGATTAGATCTTAAATTAACTAACACTTTTAGATTTTAAAGTCAAAGAAAAGTTCAAAAAGCCAGTGCTCTCAACTCAAATCTGCCAGTGGTTTAACTAATTGTTTCCTAAGAGTTTTTGATGTTTGTTTTTAAATTTTTCCTCTATTATTAAGGGTCAGCAAAATTTTTCTATAGGGGCTGAAGAGTAAATATTTTAGGCTTTGTGGACAATATGATCTCACTACAATGATTCAATTCTGCTGTCATAGCAGAAAAGCAGCCACAGATAATACATAAATAAATGAATAGTAGGAGTAATTGTGTTCCAGTAAAGCTTTATGGTATTTTTACCTGTACCTCTGGGCCAGATTCAGCCTGTGGGCCATAGCTGGCCAAACCCTGCTCTATAAAAATGAGGACATTCTCTTTAATTCCCTTGACTTGGAATGAAAATAGAAATGGAAAAAGAAATAGAAATACTTAGTCACACCATTTAGCAATTAGAGTAAACTTAGGGTTTTCTGAGAATTTAAAAGTCAAATCCTGCTAAAATAGTAACATTTCAGTAAAAAGGCACTGGCAGCTCAATATGCAGTAGAAAGAACAATAAACTGGAAATCAAAAGACTCCAGGTGTCTGACTAAATGCTTATTATTAGCTATGTTACCATAAGCAAACCACTTTTTGATTCAATTTTTACTTTCCCTGTTATCAGTTTCCAAAATCTACCCAAACTAGGAAAACATGAAACAATAATAGGACCTGTATGTGCTGTAGTCTAGATTATTTTCATTTAAGGGCCACAAAAATCTAAGTATTGGGGTGCCAGGCTGGCTCAGTCAGTAGAGCATGTGACTCTTGATCTCAGGGTCATGAGTTTGAGCCCCACTTTGGGTGTAGAGATTACTTTAAAAAAATAAAATATTTTTTAAAAATCTAAGTATCAAGGGGCGCCTGGGTGGCTCAGTCGTTAAGTGTATGCCTTCAGCTCGGGTCATGATCCCAGGGCCCTGGGACCGAGCCCCGCATCGGGCTCCCTGCTCCTCGGGAAGCCTGCTTCTCCCTCTCCCCCTCCCCCTGCTTGTGTTCCCTCTCTCGCTGTGTCTCTCTCTGTCAAATAAATAAATAAAATCTTTAAAAAAAAAAATCTAAATATCAGATAGCACAGATTCTCTTCTCTTCAACTTTTCCTTTTCCTGGGATATACTCAGTAGTTTATTCTGAAAACACATTTGCCTGACATAAGATAGCTAACAAAGTATTACTCAGGGATCATATATTGGGCTGGAAAAGAAAAATTAAGTTTAAAACTATCTTCATAAAGCAAGACACAAAGGCCAATGAAATAGAGAACCCAGAAATAAATCCTCATATGTATGGTAAAATATTTGACAAGGGTACCAAGACCATTCGATGGGGAAAGGATGGTCTTTGCAATAAATGGTGCCAGGAAAACTGAGTATCCATATGCAAAAGAATGAAATTAGACCCTTAACGTCAAACACAAAAATTAACTCAAAATGTCTAAGGTAAGACCTAAAACAATAAAGCTCTTAGAAGAAAACACAGGACAAAAGCTTCCAATACTGGATTTGGCAGTGACTTCTTGGATATGACACCAAAGGTACAAGGGTTACAAAAGGAAAACAGACAAATTAGACTTCATGAAAATTTAAAAATTGTGTGCATCAAAGACACTATCAACAGAGTGAAAAGGCAACTCACAGAATAGGAGAAAATATCTGCATATCGTATATCTATCTGATAAGGGATCGCTATCCATAATATACAGAGAACTCCTAAGACTTAACAACCAAACAAACAATTCAAAAATTGGCAAAGGACTCGAATAGACATTTGTCCAAAGAAGATATACAAATGGCAATAAACACATGAAAAGATGCTCAACACCACTAATCATTAGAGAAATGCAAATCAAAACTGTAACAAAATACCACTTCACACCTATGTGGATGGCTACTATCAGAAAAACAGAAAACAACAAGTATTGGTGAGGATGTGGAAAACTGGAACCCTTGTGCACTGTTGGTGGAAATATCAAATGGTATAGCTGTGTGGAAAACAGTATGGTGGTTCCTCAAAAAATTAAAAATCAGATTATTGTATGATCTAGGTTTTTTTATCTCTGGCTATACACCCCAAAGAACTGAAAGCAGGGTATCAAAGATATTTGTAATTCATGTTCACAACAACATTATTCACAATAACTAAAACATGGAAGCAACCCAAATGTCCACCAAAGGATGTATGGATAAACAAAATGTGGTATATGCATACAATGGATATTTTTTCAACCTTAAAAAGGAAGGAAATCCTGCAATATGCTATAACATGGATGAACCTTAAAGAACTTATGTTAAGCAAAATAACTCAGTCACAATAAGACAAATACGCATAATTTCACTAAGAGAAGGTACTTAGAGTTGTCAAAATCATAGAAAGTTGAATGGTGGTTGCCATGGGCTGAGGAAAGAGAATGGAAGTTACTGCTTAATGGGCATAACGTTTCACAAGATGAAAAGAGTCACAGGGATGAATGATGGTGATGACTGCACAATAATGTGAATGTATTTAATACCACTGAACTATATGCTTAAAAATGGTTAAGATAGTAAACATTATATGTATTTTACCATACACGCATAAATTTAAAGCCATCTTAAGTCTTTCTTTTCTTTTTTTCCCTCCCTTCTTCCCCCTCCCTCCTTCCCTCCCTTCCTTTCTGTTCTTTCTTCAGTTTAAAACAGTCTTCCTATAGGTCAGTTCTACCCAACCAATATCAGTCCTAGAGAGAGCTTCCAGGCATCACGAAAGGTTTGGGGGTCACCATTAAGAATTACTACCTTAGAGCATCTCTTGTTACACTGTTAGGGTAAACACTTACCATTTTTTATCTTCTGGCCATTGGTCTTAGTTCTACACAGAACAAGTCATAGGTTTTATTGAACATGACAGCCCTGCAAGTACTGTGTATTTTACATAGAACTTTTTTTTTTTATGTGTAATTTTTTTTTAAAGATTTTATTTATTTATTTGACAAAGAGAGAGAGTTAGTGAGAGCAGGAACACAAGTGGGGGAGTAGGAGAGGGAGAAGCAGGCTTCCCGCCGAGCAGGGAGCCCGATGCGGGGCTCGATCCCAGGACCCTGGGATCATGACCTGAGCCGAAGGCAGACGCTGAACGACTGAGCCACCCAGGCACCCCGTACATAGAACGTTCTGATACCTCTTCAAATTACCAAATAATCTCTAGAATTCTCAGCCCCATGCCTTGCAAAAACATCCTGCCCTTTTCCTTATGGTGCTTCTGCTCATGCCCTCTCCTTTGCCTAGGATGTCCTTTCTTCCCTTTCCTAATTGGTATTCTTGGTCAACTTTCAAGATTGAGTCTAATTCTTTCTGAAAATTCCCAGAACACTCTCTTCTCTCTGCATATCAAACATTGCTTGTTCAAACTACTCATCTTGTAACATTAATCAACATAGGGCATTTCTTGTATTGTTCACCTCTTCACGTGTTATTTTTTTTCATATGTATGTCTTTTCTCTACCAATAAGTTATTTGTGGGCAGGGGCCAAATCTTGAGACATTTCCAATTCTCCGTAATATTTAGTAAAATACCTTGGCATAGAGAGGAATATAATACATTAATGGTAGAGCTTAAATAAGATGATTAAAATTAAAAGAAAACATTAAACGCTGCTGTTTAAAAGGGAAGTTGGGAGTATTTACTGTTTTGAAAACCTCTTCCTGCATATCCTGCCCCACTCAAAACAGTAAACTCATAAACTCTTTATTCTTAGTTTTTAAATGTTTAGAAAATATCTTAAATTTTTTAAAATATGGAATAAATAACAGCATTTATTGATAGTATTATTGGCTCAGAGAAGACTTTTGCCTAGAGCAGTATGTCCCAAAGCAAAATAGGAACAGGATGGGCCTGAAGAAGAAACATGGCTGGGTTTCTGTAACAGAAAAGGAAATGGTTAGAGAATTTTAACAAGTCAGAAATCCAACTTTAATTTGCTCCCTGCATTATGCTACATTTTAACTTCCTTCACTATCAGGAAAGAGAAGCTAGTTCATACTAGGAGAGAAAAGCAGAGATAAAATAGCAGGTACAAGAGTCAAAATGAAGCAAGAGTAATCGAAAAAAGAAGTGAAAGCACATCGAGAAGTATGAAAAGAATGTTCATACTTGAATTCCCTCAAGATACCTTAGAAGTATGTGGGAGGACACTTAGATGGTGATTTGAATTATTTTAATGTGATATTAAAAGAAAGGCTGAAGGATACGGAATTATTTGCCTTATATAATGTTTCTTAAAAGGGATCCATGGTCAAAGAAGTTTGAGAAATAACACACTAGACCTTGAAGAGTCACAGTGGCTATCAGCAAACTGAAGACTTTGAGACATCTTTGAAGTTAAAAAAACACCACCACTGCAAACCTGCTTAAAATGTATCATTTGAATTTTCCAAACTTACTTGAACAGGGAGCCCATCTTTCCCACATACCTAGTAACAGTTCATGTATATAGTGTTCTATTTAAACTACTTTGAGAAATACTGGCCTGAGCTTCAATTACAATTTTAAAAATTTAGCTAAGCCAAGGAGAATTAAAAAGATACACCAATCAAGTAGGAATGTCATAAACAAAGGTACACAAGGAAAAAGATTATGAAGGCAAGCTGACAAGTAGCAAGAATATCAGATTCCTGAAAAGGTTATTTCTAGTATGGGTATTTTCTAATATTTTAAGG